CAGGTGGGTCCCCACCTCTGTCGTGGTCCCATTTTAGTGGGGAAATGTACAATAAACAAACTGAACATTCCTGGTTTTGATAAGAGAATCTGACACATCGCTATGGGGTAGCATGGCTTGACAAGTTTAGGTGGGGAGCAACTTTGGGTTGAGGGATCAGGGAAGGCCTCTCTATGACATTTGAGCTGAGTCCTGAACAACAGAAGGGAAGAGCTGGGGAATGGGCATTACTGGCAGAGGGAATGGCATGTGCAAAGTTTTGAGACATGGAATGGAGGCCACTGGGGCTGGAAAAGAATAATTAAGATGCTGAGGGGTGACCATACTGGGAAGACAGGGATTTATCCTGAGGGTAATGGGGAGTTGTGAAAGTGTTATAGATGTGTTAGAAAGTGGAAAATGGATCATGGTGAAGGATGGATCAGGGTGGTGGAGAACAGGTGGGGAATTAGGTTGGAGACTGTTGAACCGGTTGGCCTGTGATGAGAATCAGAAATAAGGCATTTGAGCAAGGCCTGGTGGCTCATGCCTGTCATCCTAGCACTCTGGAAGGCTGAGGTGGGAGGATTGCTTGAGCTCAGGAGTTTGAGACCAGCCTGAGCAAGAGCGAGACCCCATCTCTACAAAAAATAGAAAAATTAGCTGGGCATGGAAGCGCACACCTGTAGTCTCAGCTACTAGGGAGTCTGAGGCAGGAGAAGGGCTTGAGCCCAGGAGTTTGAGGTTGCTGTGAGCTGTGATGATGCTACTGCACTCTAGCCTGGGCAACAGAGTGAGACCCTGTCTTAAAAAAAAAAAAAAAAGGCATTTGTACCAGAGATGGTGGGAGTGTGAAGAAGAATAAGGTGACAAGTTTTATACCTTATGGGATGTGAACATATGGGAGAAGAAAGGACTAAAATGACCCCTAGGTTGTTGGCTTGGATAACTAACTATGGAATTGTTCGAGGTTCTCTGTGGTTTCTAGATGTAGAGGAAACGGGAGGGGTAACAGGCTTGCTGAGGATAGACAGGTGAAGGGGAGGAGGAGAGTACGTGAGTAGAAACTAAACGGCACAGGAACTTCCATGGAGACACCCAGGAGGCAGCAGAATAAAGCCTCTTGATGGTTTCTCCTGATCCATGTAAAAGGCCTGGGCTGGAGACTGAGATTTCAGAATTCCTTCATTCAGAATTCATTCCCCAGGCCCCATGCTAGCATTCAGGGACACTAAGGCGAATAAGACACTCGTCCTTTTCTCCATAAAATCTTTGTTTGGAGCCCAGGAGTGAGGGAAATGAATGGTCACAGAAGTGTGTATCATGCACTAAAGTGCATCCAAAAGGACAAGCAGCTCACTCTGTCTGGGAGGTCCAGGTGGCTTTGTGGAGGAGGACTCTTTCAGCTGGCTCTCAAAAGAGCAGTAGGGGTTAACCTGACAGAGAAAGGCATTCCAAGTAAGAGGAGCAGTATTTGCAAAGGCACAGAGGCTTGGAGTGCAAGGTGTGATTGGCACGTGTGTGCACGCAGGTGCTCATGCGTCTGGGAATGTCCCAGGGAAGTGGCTGGAGCTGCACCAAAGCCCTAGAGTAGCTACTGTAAGCTCATGTGGCTCCCGGGGTCAGGCAGGCATGGGTGAATGAATAAGGGTGGACGGAGGGAAGCCGATAGGAGAGGTGGCCCCTTCAACAGCCTGGAGTGTGCTGGTCCCCTCCAACAGGACCAGAAGCCACACAGCTCCAGCCAACAACGGCCAGGGGGGAATGTATCAGGACTTCTGAATTTTCTAAGGAAGTATAAAATATAAACCCACTTGAATTGTAAACACTGACCCTCAAGTCAAAATAATTTTAAAACACTGTGGGCCAAATGAAACACATACAAGCTGGGCAAGGCTGATGACTGGCAACCTCTGCACTATCAATAAAGGGGTTGCTTTCATACTATTTTTCTGCTAGGTCTGCTGGGTGGTATAGAACTAGTTACAGCCTGGCTAAAGTCAATAAACTAAACCACTGGATTACCTGGTAACACTTCCAGGGGCACCAGAGCACAGCAATTCATTTCCCCAAGTGTTAAGTGAATACCTACTGTGCACTCAGTGGTGTTCTTTCTCAACTCTTGAAAATGTGCACAAAATCTACACTGACCCATTATAGCTGCACTGCCCAATTTAAGTTTCCATTTAAATTAACTAAAATTAAGAAATTAATTCCTTAGTAATACTGGCCACATTTCAAATGCCTAATAGACACATGTGGCTAGAGGCTCCTATATGGGACACTGTAGATACTAAACATTTTAATCATTGTATAAATTTCTATTAGATAGTGCTGCTGTAGATTTTAAATTGCAGGTAGATGGAGAATGTGTCACCTTTGTTCATTGCTATATTTGGGATAACAGGTACATAGTATTGAACACACAAGTGCTCAATAAACATGAATTGATTGTTTAATAGGCTGAGATGCTGTTCTGTGAGGAGAGGCAGTTTTATTCAAAAAATGAACTGAGGCAGTATATTTATGTGTAGATACAAAACATTTTGTAAAAACCTATTTTATATGCATTTTTCTCAAATCTAATTCTGTACTGTCTGTGTTATTTCAGATGGGAATGATCTGAAACACTTGAAGGATTAAATAGTTTTCATGTTTCCTTGGCAGTCCTTACCCCAAATGGTTTCATGTTCCAGAATTTCTAAACAGTTGTGACTAAGCAAGTGGAGACATGCTCAGGCTTGGGGGCCATTGTTCTGTAGTTGTATGTTTGCAACAATGTGTAGAGTTGGCGTACTTCCTAAAAGCCTCCAAGAATGAGGAAAGGCACAGCATTCATCCAACAAATACAAAATGCTTAATAATCATGCATTGCCACTGAGGGAAATAGCCTAAGTGTTTAAGAGCTTCTGTTGTGGATCAGAAAAATCTGAATTCAAATCATGGCTTCAAACACTTAAAACTAATAGTATCAAAGCTCTCATTTATCTCAGTATAAGAGATCACAGTATAAGATCAGTACTATTGTTATTCTCATTAAACAAAAAAGGAAACTGAGAAATAGGGGGTTTAAATTACTCTCCCAAGATGACGCAGCTGATAATTGCTAATAATCGTGGTGGAGTTGTGATTAAAACCCAGGTAGTCTGACTCCAAGGTCAGTTCTCCTAACCACAGTACTACCATGCCTCTGATCTTTGCCAAGTTCACTTAACTTTCCTGTGCCTCAGTTTCCTCATCTGTAAAATAGGGATAATGCTACTCAACTCACATGATTTGCTGCAAGGATAAAGTTCTTGGCACAGTATCTACCAGCTACTGTTGTATTTGTTTACTTTTAAATAAGGGAATTCATTAAACATATAAAATCATAATCTCATAAGATAAATGCATTTAAATAACGAGCCTATAATATGTTTTTCACCTATCAGATTGGCAAAAACAAATGAAAAAAGATAATATTTCAGTGAGGGAAGTGGGTAAAGAGGTACTCCTATACACTGCTAGTGGGAGTGTAGTTGATAAAACATCTAAGGAGGGTGTATTAGTCTGCTTAGGCTGCTATGACAAAATATCACAGGCTGAGTGGCTTAAACAACAGGAATGTATTTTGTCACAGTTCTGGAGGATAGAAGCCCAAGATTAAGGTGCTGGCAAATTTGGTTCTTTGTGAGGGCTCAGAGAGCTGCCTTCTCACTGTGTCCTCCTGTGGCCTTTCTTCTGTGCTCAGGGAAGAGAGAGAGACATGTTTGGTGTCTCTTCCTCTTCTTGTAAGAACATCAGTCCTACTAGATTAGGGCCCCACTTTTACATCTTCAGTTAATCTTAATTATCTCCTTCAAGGCCCTATCTCCAAATACAGTCACATTGGGGGTTAGGGCTTCAATGTATGAATTTTGGGGAAACATGATTCAGTCCTTAACAGAAGGAATTAGCAATTTACTATCCTGATTAAGAATGCATTTGTCCTTTGACCCAAGAAAGTCACTCCTAGGAAATTATATTTTGGATGTATTTGTTAACATGCTCAAAGATGTATGCTCAAGAATATTCACTGCTGTGATATTTGTTGTAGTGGAAGATTGATCTAATAGTCCAGGTGCCTTTTAACAAAGTATTAACTAAATCAGAAGTCGGCAAACTTTTTCTGTAAAGGCCAGATAGTAAATACTTTAGGCTTTGTGGGCTACACAGTCTCTGCCATTGTAGTGCAAACCCAGCCATTGATAATATGCAAACAAATGGCCATGGCTGTGTCCCAATAAAACTTAATTTTCAGAAACAGGTGGTTGATTGGATTTGGCTTGTGGGCCATAATTTGCTGATTCCTGGTCAAAATAAGTTATGGTATGTCCACACAAGAGACTACTATGCAGCCATTAAAAGGAACATCTTTAAGATATCTAATTAAGTGGAAAATCATGATATCACCAGGAGCTATAGGGTGTCTACCATATGCCACGTGCTAATCTAAGCATTTTACATGTATTTACTCAATATTCACTGTTTCTCTGTGAGGTAGCTACTATTATAACCCCCATTTTATAGTTGAGAAAACTAAAACGCATTAAGGAACTTGGTCAATTTCCCACAACTGATAAATGGTAGAGCCAGGATTTGAACCAGGATCTAAAACCCAACACCAAGTTCTCATCCTACCTGCAGGCTGCCTCCTAGAACAGTGTATATAGTGAGCTATTCTTCATGTATATAAAAAAGTGGAATTATATCAGTGTTTCTCAACCTATTTTGCATTAACATCTCCTCTCAGGAATCTTTTTAGACATTTTTTTCCTAATGGCCTGCCAAGAAAATTTTAGTATCACAGATATCCAGTATATGTATTTAGGTACTGCTTTATACATAAAGAGTAAGATTTTTCTGCCCTCCTTGCCCTAAACTAATTTTTTTTTTTTTTTTTGAGACAGAGTCTCACTGTGTTGTCTGGGCTAGAGTGCCGTGGCGTCAGCCTAGCTCACAGCAACCTCAAACTCCTGGGCTCAAGCGATCCTTCTGCCTCAGCCTCCCGAGTAGCTGGGACTATAGGCATGTGCCACCATGCTTGGCTAATTTTTTTCTATATATTTTTAGTTGTCCAATTAATTTCTTTCTATTTTTAGTAGAGACGGGGTCTCGCTCTTGCTCAGGCTGGTCTCGAACTCCTGAGCTCAAACAATCCACCCGCCTCGGCCTCCCAGAGTGCTAGGATTACAGGCATGAGCCACTGCGCCCGGCCCATTTTCTAACAGAGGTTAATATCATGGATTGGAAGAAGTGTCTGTTTTAATCATCATTATCAACTACTGAGCAGTTTAGGAAAATCTGCTAAGAAATTTACTTACGTTATATCATTTTATCCTTTACCGGTGGGACAATGTGGTAGGCAGAATAATGCCCCCCACATAGATATCCACAGTCTAACCTCCAGATCTGTGACTATGTTATTTTACATGGCAAGAGAGAATTATGATCACAGATGGAACGGAGGTTGCTAATCAGGCAACTTTAAAATAGGGAGACTATCCTGGGTTATTAGGTGGGCCCAATGTAATCAATCACAAAGCTCCTTAAAAGTGGAAGAGGGAGGCAGAAGAGGAGGCCAGAGCGATACCATGTGAGAAGAAGTCAACATGCTGTTACTGGCTTTGAAGATGGAGAAAGAGGACCACAAACCAAGGAATATAAGTAGCTTCTAAAAGTTAGAAGTGACAGGGAAGTGGATTCTCCTCTAGAACCTCCAGAAGGGAACATAGCCCTGCCAACCCCCCTGATGTCAGCCCATTCTATGTGTGAGGAGTCTGAGGCTCAGAGATGTTGAGGCACCTTCCCAGGATCACACAGCCTGGTTCTAAGATTTGAATCCAGATCTGATTCCAAGCTGATGATCATGTGATGATTAAACCCTGCTGGTAGGAATTTATATGATCACTTTACATTGTAAAGCTAATGCTACCAATGCCTAAAGATGCAATCTAGCCCTCAGCTCCCAAGACAAGATTGACCGCAGGACTCACTAGAGACAATTGTCTGCGTTGATAAATGCACTCCTAGGCAGGCACATGTGGCACCATGCTGCTAAGTTCTGTGGAAATATGTATCATTATTAATTATGAAATTCAAAAAAAAATTTATTCACTATGAAATTTTAACAGAAGGTCTAGGAGCTTTGAGAGAGGGCAAGATTAACAAAGGACTTGTAAGAAGGGCAGTAATGCTGAGGACAATGTGTTAGCTACAGATTCTATCAAATTCTAGAGTTCATGTGACAGTGGAGATCAATAGGAATAGACTTGACTCTCTTTAT